GTAACTTGTCTCACTTTATAATTTGAATGAGTAGTGATTCTATTTTCATATTTTTTACACTTAATGTTTCATTATTTTTCATAATTTTGAAATTTTAAATGATTGTCAACAGTTATAAAAGGGGAAGACTTATGCTTCTATTCCATCATTATCTGTTCGGAGCTAAATTAACAAGGCTTTACATATTTTGGTAAGTTTTTCCCTATTGCATTATTTTACGTCATGATTCAACATTTCTACAAAAAGAACTACACTTGTTAATCATAAGCTCTAGCATAGGCTCAAAAGCAATTTTGAGATTTCAAAAACTTTGATTATTATTGGAGTAGTGGCATCAAAGCTGTGATGTTGTTACCACAAAACAGCAAAATGGTGCAGCAAAAAGCTGCATTTATGGGGCAAAATGTGCAGCAATAAAGCTGCTTCAATGGAGGAAAGAAAATGCAGCAAATTGATGCATTATGGAAGGAAATGAAATGCAAATGCAAATGGAGGCTACAAATTAATCAACAAAAGTGCAACATTAATGTGATAGTTTTCAATGTACTTTTTTATGTTAGTTTATGCATTGCAATCCTTGATTTAAATGTTAGGATAGATTTTGTAGAGAATATATAACCATAGGGAAGGTAGGTGAAAAATACTATTTTTAGGTTGAATTTTCTGCTATAAATGGGCAAACATGTTAATGGAAATATGAGAGAGTTGGAAAGCAAATTCTCCTTCCTTTTTGGGTTGGGTGAATGTCTGCACCCTTCCTTGGTTATGTAAAATTCATGTTCCAAGTTCTGCTCTTCTTACCCTCCTCCAAGTCCTCTCTCAACCCTTTCTTCTTACCTCAAATATCTAACAATTATGAGTTAAATTAAGTTTTAAACCTTTTGCTCTATATAGCTAATCAAACTAACTTATTAATTTCCCATGCAAAAATTAAGTTTTTCTAATTTGCTTCTTTTCCTTTACTAAAAGGTAAAGGAGATGTTGGAGATTAGATTGGATCAACAATTGCTGTATAAAGTTGCACGAGGCAATATTAGCCGTGAACACTTGGAAAAAGAATTGGAAAATGTCCAAGACCCAATTGGACGTCCATTACTGGACATTGTTGATCAATTGAGCCCCGGTGGGAACTCACTCCTTCATGCAGCTGCACGCTCTGGTAGAAAAGACATAACTGAATATCTGGCTGAAAAGTTTCCCCACCTAATTTTTCAGACAAATTATGCTGGTGATACTGTGCTTCATTCTGCTGCTAAAGCTGGAAAGGCAGAGACGATCGAAGTTCTTCTCCAATTTTATACTAATCCCACATCAAGCTTGACAGACGGTTTTCCCCTGCTGAGGATGAAGAACCTAGAAGGAAACACCGCTCTGCATGAGGTTGTGATCCAGTACAACTTTGCTGCCAACTATGACAAAAGGGAGAGTTACTGTGCTGTCATAGCAAGGATGGTTTCTATAGACCCTCAACTAGCCTACATTGCTAACAAAGAGCGAAAATCTCCCTTATGCTTGGTTGTTGAAACCACCGATTTGAAGATTGTTCAGTGTCTCTTGGAATATCCTCTGCCTGTAGCTGCGGATTGCCAACAACTACCCGAAGGAAAGTCTCCCGTGCATGCTGCCATTAAGTTGAAGTTAAAAAATAATGGTAAACTACGCATCTTTTATTTGCTGGCTTCTGTATTTTAAATAAATTCTTCTTTCACAAATTTAAAATTTTGTTTAAGAAAAAAATTTGAACTTAGAAGTGTCATAGGAGAGTTAGGACACCACTAAACAGCCCCAATAAAAAAAAATTGACTTTTTATACTAAAAGATACAAATTTGCTTTTAATAAATCTACTTTTGGCTTGTCATTTTTTTTTTCTTTTTGTACATATATAAAATGATATAACTAACTTTTTACAAATAATATTTAACGCCATGCACGGTTTTGTGATGCTTTTTATTTTATCACATAAGATTGTTCACGTAGCATTTTCATAAATGTTGCCATTTATTTCAGATATGTTGAGTGAAATGCTACATAGAAGACCAAAGTTAATAGACTCAACAAATGGGAACGGGCGAAAAGCGCTGCATTGTGCAGCATCCGTAGGTAACATGGGAGCAATAGAGTTCCTGTTGCGAAATTATCCTCAAACAATTAACGAAAGGGACAATGACGGTCACTATGCTCTTCATGTTGCTTGTGAAAGCGGTTATGTCAAAGCATTTAACAAATTATTCAACCAGTGGCCAGATACATCAGAATACCTTAACAACAAATGCCAAAATGTTCTTCACATTGCGGCCAAGAACGGCAGAGACTATATGGTGAGGCACATAGTTGAAGATAAAAAATTTGGGCCTCAACTTGTAAATGCCAAAGACATTGAGGGAAATACACCCTTGCACTTGGCAGCCATGCATGGTCATTCTTTAGTTGTGGGTACTCTACTGTTGACTGGGAAATGTGACTCCCAAATTTTGAATCAAGAAGGCTTCACAGCCTATGAAGTTGCTAAGCAGCGAGCTGGAGACCCAATGGACTCTGAAACACAAATGGTATCTTATTAATTAGTTTTTATTTTTATGTTTTTGGGTTAAGCATCCGTTTATTTTGTTTAAAAGCAAACCATCTACGTAGAGACCATAGGAAATTTATGAAAAGTTAGTTTTCCTAAGTGCAAAAATCAAACCGCTTAGGGTGGGTTTGGAATTTGATGATGTTTCAAATATCACCATCCATTTACACTCTATGCAGTTAACATATAAAATCCATTTTTAATTTAGGATTTGTTGTGATGTTTATTTTATAGTACTATATGTATTTTTGGTAATATCTTATATGTGTACTTATTGAATGCTATCTTTTTTAATATATATAGGGGCAACAAAATATGCAGAGCAATGAGCAGGGCAATGTGCAAACCAAAGGGCAAACAAATGTGCAGCGTGAAGATGTCTCTTCAAAGAATACAAAACGACCAGATTCAACTGACTCGGTAAGATTAGTTAATTATGAGAAAGTTGTTTATTCAAAAGATGATTATTTCATGATAAAATGTCAATGAATAACTATCTTATGAAACCAAATATGGCCTTATGTTATGGTTGCTCATCAGAGTGCATGGTGGTAAATAAAAGCATATGTATCTTAAATCTTACATGATTCTTTACAGGTCAAATTTCTTAAGAAAACGTGTTCATTGTTACACATACAGATGATGGCATTGTCTATACTGTTTTTATTACAACTATTCAAAATCTTATGTGGTCGTCATCAGCAACATCGGATGAAAAGGTTGCGTCATGAAATCAAAATAAAGAGAGCAAATAAGGACGATATCAAGGACAGGATCAACGCTCTCATTGTGGTTGCAACACTTATTGCTGGCATAGCCTTTCAAGCTGCTGTTCAAATGCCTGAAAATGGCGATGATAAGGGTAAAAGCTCTAAAACCAATAATGGACTCTTAACCCCAGCCCCAGCCCCAGCCCTAGCCCTAACTACATTCCCCCCACTCACTAGGTTTAAACATTTCATTGCTGATCAATTAGACTTAACATACTCACAAATATTCACCTTCTTCATCTCTTTATCTATGAACCTATCCATTCTCGCAGCCATCACCTTATGTTGGGTCCAACTTCTTGATGTCAATTTTTCTGCTTTCTTCATTTGGCAAGCATCAGTTTTGGTAGGGATATCCCTGTACTCCATTTGCATTGCTTTCGGGTTCACTATGTTGATAAGAATTAAGGAATTTGGTCTTAATTACACCACTGTCATGATTGGCTTGGAATCCTTGTTTATTCTTGTGCTGACAATGGTCACAAGTCCGCTATTCATCCCTTTTGGACTCAAGTATCTGTTTGTCCGAGGTCTCTATGTTGCTTTCTTCATTGGTTACTTCTTTGTTCACAGACTCTTGGATTGTTGTCTCTATCGATTACAGAAAGCCTAGCATAGTACTCCATATCACTTCCACGAGTTATATATGAAAATATATGTTGTCAATATATAATGAATTTTTTGGCAAAACTACATATGAGAATGCTGCATTGTTGGTATGGCAGGAACACTTATTCCTCTTGAAAGAGATGAAGCAGAAGCTCCACTACACGGATATACTTCGTTGTAGTGGAAAAGTAGATGCCTCATTTTCTAGAGGTTTGATTTTGTGGTTTTAGAGTTCTTATAAGATATTCTTGTGATTTTTCTTTTTATAACATTGGTGTTCAAACCTTGGTTCCATCAATCACATAGGCTGTAGTTGTGCTTGGTGTATTGTTCTATGATGGTGTGTTAGTTTTTTTTTGCTATAAAATGTGCTTAATTGTTATGTTGAATGGCTGTTGAATTGTAGAGGTTTTGAGTTGGTCTTAGTTTGGTTTTCAAAGTAGAGGTGATGTTGTTACATGAAATTTTCTTATATTTGTGAGTAGCATTCTCATTGATTAGGCTAGATTTTTGGGGCCACTCTTTTCATTTCTTTGGCAAAAACCTAAACTCTCAATGCATCAATGGGATTACCCAACTAAAAATGCAAAGAGCACTTAATTACAACTAGGCACTGAACAGTAACATAACAAATGGGATATTGCTCCTATAATGAAGTTTTACTTTCATTTAACTTGTGCTTTTCTTAAATTTGTATTCAATATATATATATATATATATTTGCAAAGATTGATACATGTTTTGCTTAAATATACTTTACAATATACTTATTAAGAAATTTTTTTTTAAAAATTTAAATTCAAAGAAGAAAAAATTTTACTT